AAAATGCTGCGAGCGAAAAAGAGAAAGTGACTGTTCTGCTTTGGTCCTCATGAACAGCATCACTGATCAACAGCTCTAATTTTAGGGGCTTGCTGGTGAGCTGGTACTGAAGACTTAGTGGAGATGATAACTGAGGTTCAGCAGCTGTCTTAAATCTTAGGGGTAACTGTATTATACACGATACTAGTTTTATTTGTTTTGCTATTATTATTTTTAAAATGGTAAAAAAAATGCTGTTTGGTTAATTGTTTAAAAATTAATTCAGAAGTAGAAAAATTAAACAAGTTATTTAATTGAATTAATCTGTGGTTTGAAAAAACTCCTTTCTTGAGGCATCTTTTTAGCCAAATCACTTCTTAGGAACCACAGCCAGCAAATAATGAGGCAATTCTATTTTCTTCCCTCCTAGCAGCTACTTTGAGTGGGACTGGGTGGTGGAGAGGGGACAGCTATACTTGACCCAACCAATTAGAAAAACCACAGGATCTTTTCTGTCATGAATAATAACCTTCTGAGTCAAGAGATGGGACAAACCTAAAAGTGAGCTTCATGATCTACATTTATAGTTCCAATCACAAAAATGACCAAGGTCATTTAAGTAATGCTTCTGAGATTCAAGCCTTTAACAGAAATATTCTATCTTCTTTCTGAAAAACACATTTAATTAAATAAATAAAAAGCGCACTAAACACGGTTCTTACCTACGATTACAAATAAAACATATTAATCTTGTTTGAATAATAAAATTACAAAAAGCACTTATTATAAACAGCAAAAGAAATCTTAAGAGCCAACCAGGTCAGCCTTTTAGGCATGATGCTGTAATTATAGTGATCATTCACTGCCTTGTCTGTGAACTAATCTTGCAGGCATTATATTGGAAATTGAACTCTCTCAAGGAAGAGTATTTTAGTAACAAAGACATATCTTTGTTACGCTGCTAGTGAGCTTTCATATAAATGTGACAGAGTCATAGTGCCATAAATGCAGTGAGGGCCGAGTGTTGCTGCTGAACATTAATGTTACAATCACTAGGCAGGAAAGAGGGAATCTCAGGTAGATCCGCTCTGCACTGGCAGATGCCAGGCATGGGTTGAGATGCTGTGTCGTGTGGTATTCAGCCAGCTCTGCCACCTGTCTCTAGTTTGTCATCCCATAGTCTTCCTCTCTTTCAATCACCACAGCCAACCAACCACCATGTCCTGCCAGTTTTGCCTCCTAAATATTTCCCGATCCACCTCCTCCTCTCCATCTCTACCCCTCAACGTTACCTGGACACCGTGACAGCCTCCCTCATACCCTCCTTACTTATCTTGTCCAGGATGGGGATCTAGAGCCACAGGTCATGTCACTCCCTGCCTAAATGCACTTGGAGGGCTTCCTCCTCTGCAGGACATGGAGCTCAACTGAACCCTCCCGCTCGTCTCTCTCCAGGCCCCCAGCTCAAGGTCTAAGCTCCAGAAACAGCACGTATCTCCCCCCTTGTTAATGGAGTTCCCTCTGCTGTCTGTCCTCCCTTCTGCCTCTAACTTCAGTTCTTCCTTCAGCTATTTACAGTCACCCTGAGGAACAATGCACACAGGAAAGGCAGGATGCACGCCTGACTCTTCCCTTTTACTCACCAGTTTAAAAAAATGGATTGTTCCCCTGTCCTCTTCCAAAGAGACTGAGAGTGTGTTTGCTTTAGTTTCACTGTCATTATGGTTTTCTGTGGTGGTAAGATTTAGTTTTTCTTTCTTCAAGACTCAGCTTCAAGAGGCACAATGTCCTCCCAAAAGCTTTTCCTGACCACTTGCCTGGACTGGGCCAAAGGACTCCTCAGAATCCCTCCCAGGACGTTCCTTTGTCAATTTATCTGTCTTTTGTTCCCTAACACTACTCAATTTTGTACGTTTTATTTATCCTTGTACGCTGGGTACCTAACATAGTGCCCAGCACACAGCTGGGGTGTGATAAGTGTTGAACTGGATTTTATGTCAATTTATCTGTCTTTTGTTCCCTAACACTACTCAATTTTGTACGTTTTATTTATCCTTGTATGCTGGGTACCTAACATAGTGCCCAGCACACAGCTGGGGTGTGATAAGTGTTGAACTGGATTTTATGTCACCGATACCACACTGAAGCAAGCACAAGTGGGACAAGGTGACGTCCACCCACCCCCAGGGCTCCCCGTACTCATGTTTCTAACAGGGAGAAACTCCCCGACAGGTTGTCTCAGTTTCTGCACTACCCTAGCCCAGAAGTAGTCTTCCTATGGAAAACTATTCCTCGGATGACAGCGTCGGCCGGTGGGCTGCACTCAAGCCACTGGTCAGACTCCGCAGCAGCCAGCGCCTTCCTCCTGCCCTCACAGGGGCAGCCACTGCCATGCACTCTGTGCTGCCATCTTCTTGCTCTTGTCTACAGGCTTTTGCTTTGTTTTCCGGCTCTCATCTGTGTTTCTTTTTCTTTCGTATAAAAGTGACACGTCTGAAATGTCTGCAGGCAGATGCCACCCTCAGGGGGTATGTGTTACAGTGTAACATCGGGGAGGTCAGGGGCAGCTAAGCGAGGGGCGCCTCTCAGAATGGGGGTTCAGTGCCCCCTCCCTGGCTCCACCCACACCTGCAGGTGAGAACTGACCCCGACAGGCAACCGAATCATCCATCTTGCGTGTCTTAGAGATTGATTCCCGCAACCCTCTCCAGGACCCCCAAGAAACAGAACGTCCCGGCCAGGCTGCAGCACTGAGCACGGGACCCGACCCGGGGGAGCCTGTCAGCCGGTAAGTTAAAACACCCACTGCACCCTGTCCCATAGATCATCACTAACAACATATTGCATAGGTTTGCATGTGTTTAAACTCCACATAAATGAAAGGGTATGGTGTGTATTGTGTTATTTTTTTCACTCAGCATTGTAAGCGTGAGATTCAGCTACAGTTTTCACGCTGTGCAGTGTGTACTAGAACAGAAAGTAACTATTCTCTGGTTGATACACATCGGCTGATTGCTTTCCGTCCTCCACCCCCCCCGCAAACACTATTGCAGACAGCATTCCTGTGTGTGTCCTGTGGTGCGCCTGCCAAATGTCCCTACCGGGTGCACCCGGACAGCAGAGCACAGACCTCCGCTGGGTCGCAGGATCTACCTCGTTTTCAACGTTCACAGATAACGCCAACCTGACCCCCAAAGTAGCTGCAAACAACTCCCTCTTTTCACAGGTTTATTCACTAGGCAGCTTTCTTCTGTTGCGACTGCCTTTTTATGTCTTTTGCTCATTTTTTTCCTGTGGGGTTGCTGTCTTTTCCTTATTATTTTTAGAATTTCTTGCTGTATTCTGGAACTGAGGCCTTTGTCAAGTGTGTTTCAATATCTGTTTCTGTCTGTACCTTCCTTCTCTCTAAGGTGTATTTTGATGAACAGAAATTCTCGTTTAAGTTTTTCATTTACATTGCCAATCCCAATTGATTTTTATGCAATATTAGATATGAGTATAATGTTATTTTCTCATGTGAATAAAAACGGTCTCAGCCTCGTTTTTCAGGGGGGCCATCCTTTCCCTGCTAACCTGTGCTTCTCTGTGAAGTGCCCAATCTCAGATAAGTGTGGACGTGCCTCTGGTCTTTCTCTGTTGTTTCATTAGTCGATTTGCCCATCTCTCTATTAAAACCCCATGACT